AGTCACAAACCCCGAGGATGACAAGACATTCAAGGTCAATGGCCAAATAATTAAGCCATTCTTTGAGAGTTTTTAAGGACAAGGAGTGGAGGAGGATTTGATGGATCCAGTTTATCCAGACTTGCTGGAAGAATAACTGTTTTTATGCTTTTTAGTGTATAGTAGTTTTTAATTACTTTAACTGTTCATGTTACTTACTTTATATTTTCGTATAGTGTTGTTTTCTTAGTCACAAATATAGGTATTGTGTCAAAGCTCAATTACGAGGTGTTCTCTAACCCTACTCATCATTTTACAATCCTTCATTGCACATTATATCTTTTTTGTTGCATTGAGGACAATACATGAATCAAGTTAGAGGGGGAGGTGCACCATTTGTATGATACACCAATGGTTGTGGAAATTTGTTTATAATACAATCTTTTGTGGTGAAAAGTCACCTTTCACATATCATACAGATTTTTGTTCACAATAGTTGCAAATTATGTGAAAATTTTGAAAATTTTTGTGAAATTATCTGAATGTTGATCTGTATTCCCTTATTAAGAGTGCTTTGGGCTGTTGATATGTTGATCTTGTGTTGAATTCTGAATATATGGCCACATTATAGAAATTCATCCTATACTTGAGTATCATATATGTGTTTTTTTTTGAACTCACCAATATGTACACCTTGAATGTGTAATTTCATCAATTTACGGATTGAGTTCACATTTCAGAATCTGACATGAATAGTGGGGATGAGTAAGAATGCATGAGAGTTTTAGTGTCAATCCTTTTTGGAGGGAACTTACATTTACTCAAAGAACAATTCTTCAAATTTCAAATTTGTTTAATAATCTCATCATGTTTGTTTTGGCTAGGTGCATATGTGTAGTTGATTGACTTGTCTTGAAATGCATATTGCTCCCCCGTGCTTATCTGGAGGTGATGTTAGGCCATTTTTGAATATTTTGAGCCTTGGTCCTTTTTTCTTGTAAAAATATTATCCCTAGTGCCGTGATTGAGCATGAATTGAAGTTCATTTATATGCCACACATTTGACCAAGCTAGTGCAAAATGTTAAAAATCTACATCACCTTGGTTGTTCCTAGAGCAGAATATGAGTGATCGTAAAAAGAGAAGGAAGTATGGTGTGGAAACTCAAACAAAAGGGATGAATGATGTTGAAACTCAAAGAGTTGAATGGGAAAAGAATGAAAATCCAAGAAAAGGAGAAAAAGGGGTGAGAAGAAGAAAGATTGATCAAAAGAAAAGGAAAATGTTAAGGAAAACAAGAAAAAGAAATAAAGAGTGTGATGATGGGTTTGGATTGAAAATCCCATGAAAAGAGAGATGTTTTTGAAATAAAATCTTTCACTCAGAACAACCCTCTTTGTTATCTTATATCCTTCATTTCTTTTGCTTAATATCACCCTAAGGCCCCATTATAGCCCTTGAAGTCCTAAATGATCTAGAGAAGAATGGACGAGGCATACTTTTAAAGAAAAAGAGAAGTTGGTTTGCTATATAGTACACTAGCATTCCTTTCTTGAGAATTTTCCATGGTTGTTTCATTTTCATGTATGAACTTCATTTTTGGATTATATGTGAGCATATTTCATTTTGTGATTTAGATTCTATCTCACATATACACATGGAGAACATGTCAGGATAACTAAAGTGTGATTCTTTGATGAGAGACACCTTTGGTGAGGTTGCATCGAAGCTTAATTTGTATAGCCAAAGTGAATGTGAATTCCATTATGTAAATGCTTAAATTACATGTCCATTGTGCATACATACGAGTTTGAAAACGAATGTGTAGGTATATACTCTAGACTAGCTTTTAAAGCCATGGGGTTGCTCATGTGTGCTTGGTTCGGTCAAGTGAACGACATGTTAGATATCTCCATGCTTAAAGGATAGAGGAATATTGCTCAACTTTTTATATTTGATAAGATTTAGGAATATCCTTGATAGTTGAATCCATGTTTTACATTTTGGGTATTCATTTTGGTAGTTTAAACTATAAATTCATGTTTTGTAGTTTGAAAACATAAAAAAAAAATCATATATCATGTTGCAATTTTGGAATTGACTTTGGGCATGATCAATCAGTTATGTTTCATATGTGTGGTTCAATATTTTGGTAGGTTATATGTCTTAGAAAGGGTGTTGAAATGTTTTGGAGATTGAGGAAAGTTGGATTGGATGTGAATTTTTTAACAAATGAATGGTTTTGTAGCAAAAGCAAAACCTTCCGGAAGGTTGTGATCGACCTTCCGAAAGGTTTTGCCTGCTAAAATTTTTGCCTCAAGCAGTAAGCAAAACCATCCTGACGGTTTGTCTCGACCTTCCAGAAGGTTTTTGCCAAAAACCTAAAAATGATAAGTTCGATTTCTTTTGGACACCCTTCACATTTCCCTTCAAGCTTGAGATTCTAAACCCTCTTCTCTCTTTCTACTCTCTTCCAATCTTCAAATCACCTCACCCAAGCCCTAGATTCTCACTTTCCTCTTGATTTAGGTTGAGTTGTAGGTTGTTTTAGCCAAAAATTTTAGTGTTCTTCACAAACCCTAAGTTCTCACTTTTTCCCAAAATTTCTCAAATCCATTTTGGTCTTTGTCAAATCCCTCAACTCCTTTGCTATGGCTCATATGAATGGGATGCCTATGGAGGTGTTTGAGCCTTTGGAGAGCCTCTTGGTGTGGTTGGTGACGTTCGTGGGTCTAGGGGCACTGTTGATTCTCATGGCCCACACGAAAAGGACGGGCCCCAACTCCCCACCACCTATAGGCTCTAGCTCTTGAAAGAGGATCGGGGAGGGCCCTTGTGGCCAAGAGAGAGAGGAGAGGTGAACCAAAGCAATGCATGATGCCCATGGACAAAGAATAGAGGAAAAAGGTATCACGTGTGAGAGATACGTGGATAGTCTCTTGGGCAAAACAATGAAGTTGTGAGATAATTAAGGTGCGTGGGTTGAATGTTTGGTTTCAAGAGGTCAAGGGATACAATTTGGGTATGTGCCATGAATTTTACCAAAAGTTGTCTATATTTGGTGAGGATGGGGGAAGGCAAAAGATGAATGTGCGAGGAAAAACTTTTGAGGTGACCCCCACCACGATTGCCACGGTGTTGGAGTATGAGAGGCCTCCCTTGAAAACCCCAATCTAACCACACAATGTGGATGGGGTTAGGACTCTTACGGACTATGGAGGTCTCACCTATGAGGACCCGACCACGTTTAAAGGGACGACGTTTATCAGGGGCCTCAAGCACTCGTATAGGGTTATGAATAAGGTTCTTCATTAGAATGTGATGCCCTGGGGTGTGGAGAGGAACCTAAACATCAATAAGTTGGCTCTCCTCCATGCATTTATGATAGGGGTAGCCATAGATGTGGGTTATTTGATTTGGGAGGAGATGCGGGAGTTTCCCCTTTGGCAGCCTCGTCACCAAATTGTGTGATCACGCCAAGGTGAAGCACTATGCACATGATACTAATCTCCCCATAGAGACTAGAGCGATCGAGAAGTCCAGCAGCAACAAAAGAGCTGCCAGGACTAGGGGAGAGAGACCTAGAGCCCTGAGGCTAGATTAATCTGCCACAGGGCCATCCACATCAACTGCTTCTGCTCTTGCCCTGGCTCACACCATACCCTAGCATCTAGATGCTCTAGAGTCCACTATGTATGAGCTATCCTTGATGGTGATGAGACTTTTCCAACATACATTCTTGGGTGAGCCCAACTCTGGTGGACCCTCACAACATCCAACTGGATCGTCGATTGCTTAAAGGAAGGTTTGGAGGGTGAAAAGATGTAAATGGCTTGAGTTAAGCCCCCACTGAAGTTTTTGAATTCAATGAGGATGAGGGGATAGCTCAAAGGAATGTTTATAGGGTGAAGAAACCAAGAAAAATGTAAGTTGGATGAAAACCTTCCAGAAGGTTTTGCCTTGGTTTGCCTATTCACTATCAAAACTTTCCGGAAGGTTTTGTCTACTGTAATGAACCTTCCAGAAGGTTTTTCTTATTAGTTTCCTTATTTAACTGTTCCTACACAAACCTTTCAAAAGGTTTTGTCTAGATTGCCCAGACAGCTTGCAACTTAAGCTCTGCCATTTGGGGGTCCCACCTACAATTCTCCAGCTTTACCTCTGACATCCCTTACACATCTATGTGCCTCCCATCACCATAGCTTGGAATTTGAAGGCTTGAGTATTTATGATGAGGAGAGAGAAGAACATGGCAAGAGAGGTGATGACAATGCTTGTCTTAGCCTGCAACAAGGCATCCAATCAGCCTCCTATGGATGGGAGGTATGCCATATAGGTTATGGGGAGCTCCATAGACGTTTTTAATGATTCATTACACATTAGGGAGATATATTATATTGTATAGAGATACGCTCCAAGAGAAGAAGACATAGTTTAGAGAGATAAAGCTTAGATTTTTACATTTATTCCATCCATTTCACTTGTAATCTATTGTAAAATGTTTTTAAGCTTCCTTTATTGTCTTTAGTGTCATTTATTTCCAGTACATTTCAAGTTTAGTTGAGTATCTTAACTTTTACCATTAATGTATTTAAGTTTTCATCTCAAAGCTTTTCAAATGGGTATTGAATGCACTTTCCTTTAGTTTATGTTTCCTTGCATTAATTTCAAGTCCAATCTTCATTTATTTACAATGTGTCTTCATTTCATTTATGTTCTTGCTTTAAACATGAGTTGCTAAGCTCTAAGTTGGCTAATACAAGGGAGAACTCCTCTTTTTTTTTTTTTTTTAACATAAGTCATAAAATAGATTCATCAAATTAAATGCAACCAAATTCAAAAAATCAGATATAAGGTAATCATTTGGACAACAAAGATTCAAGAAACTTAGTTCAATAGCCGATACTACGTGTATGCATATGCAGATAGACATAGTTGAGAGAGAGAGAGAGAAAGAGAGAGAGAGAAAGTCGTTGGTGGAATTACATGCGATGATGATTAGTTGTAGTAGAGTTCAAGACCATGCCATCATGGATCTCGTAGTCCTTGAGGGTGATGTGGTCCATGTAGATATTGTACCATTTTTGGATCTTTATCTTGTAGGATTGCGTGTCGGTCTGGGCAGCGACGAGCTCCTTGAGGTCGCCGATGGTGTCGTCATCATTGCACTTCACCTGAACCTTCTTACCCAGCCCGTCATTCAACACCACCTCTATCTTCTTCTTCTCCTTCGTAAACCCTAGACCCTAGCCCTAATTCTTCAGAGTGATCGCGTTGAATGGCCCAGGAGAACTCCTCTTGGGTATGCTATTTCAACTTGTTTTCTTTCCTCCTCATAGTGTACGTTGATTCGGTTTGACTGGGTTGAGTGTGGATGTGGTTGTGAGTCTTTGATATCTTGTAGACTTGTCATGGGGTATGCTTGGATCTTCACCTCTATTTTAGTCCCTCACTTCCCACGAATCAATCGAACATCTAGAAACCATTGGAGGAAGGCCTTGAGTTGATTTGGCATTCCCATTGGAATGACCTCTTTGGATTAGCCAACACTTGTTCCATTTCATTTTCAATCACAAACACAAACACAAACAAAAGATTTTTACACTTCTCCCCTTTTCACCAAAAATCACATGCAAAACAATTCAACTCCTTCCCTGAGGAGACGACGTTGAAATACGATTTTCAAGTAAAACACAATACTCAAAAGTCTCCCTGCATTTGGGAAGCACTTTTTTTCACACACACATTCCATTCCACACACCGTTGCCCCATTTCTTACATCAAATCCGACTGAGAGTGACACTCACCCACATATATAAGCCATATAAACATCGAGGGTTCTTCTGTGGAGAATTGGGAATACAACGGAAACCATCAAGCATTTGCCCCTCCCATAAAAGTCGGTGCTTCTATGCCTTAAAATGTTAGAGGTCGTTCAAGCCTCTATGGCCTATGTTAGAGTTGGCTTGTGCAAAGGTACTAGCCATTGCACCCATAACCTCAATAAAGGCTTGTTGATTAAAGGCCGGTTGCGATGGCTAGTACTTCTGTCCACCCCCCAATTGTTGCGATGTCCTCTTCCTCTATTTGCCATCTACACACATGTAAGATTGCAATAGACCACTAACTTAGTATCCCAAAGTTAGGGATCAAAATTAAAAAGTTGGAAATTTTTTCCCTATCTCACTAGTAGGAGATATGCCACCCACTAGTAGACGCCAAAAGCATAAACTTTCCCATTCCTTTTTTTTTTTCTGACCCCAAGGTTATGTTTTTTAACCCTAGTGTCTAATTCCTATACACATTTAATCATGCATTTAAATGTGTATGGGAATTAGACATTTAAATGTGTATGTGACACTCACCTGCATACATAAGCCATATACACACAAAGATAGTAATTCAAGAACATGAAACTAAACTTGATTATACTTGAAATACATGAGATTAAATTGCAAGAAATAAAGATTACAAGTGAAATACAACTTACTACATGTGAAATGGGTGAAAAAATGCAAAAAACAAACTTTCTCTCTCTAAAACTATTTCTTCTTCCTCGAAAGTTTCTTTCTCTAAAACTATGTAAAGCTGAATAATGGTGTGGAATACCCTTCCATTTTCATCCATGGGGCTCCTATGGTCTGTGAGAGCAGACATTGCATGATTGGGGGAGGATTGGACACCTACACAAGCAAGGTCAGAGCATGCCTGCACCCTCCCCATGCCTTGACCAACCTCTCTCTTTCTCTCTCCTTTTCTTCCATGCTTTTCCTTCCAAAATTAGATGTTAGGTGTAAGAGGGTATGCATGCATGTAGAATGTGTCAAGGCATGTGTGGGAGAAGTAGAGGTGGGCCCCCCAAGTAGGTAGAGTTTGATTTATAGGCTTTTGGAATTTTTGCTTAAAACCTACCAGTAGAACAATGACAAAGCATACTGGTAGATTTTTACCAGTAAGCAAAACCTTCCTGTAGGTTTTGACAGATGATGCAGTAGGTTAATTTTAGTGTCCAAAACCTACCGGTAGAACTATGAGCAAGCCTACCAGTAGGTTTTCACTTGATTTTCCCTTTTCTTGATTTCTTCTCCTTCCAAGCCACCCGTTAAGCCTCCCCTTCTTCTTCATTGACTTTAAGAACCATGATGGAAGCTTAACTCAAGTCATTTCATACTTTTTAACTACAATCACACAAAAATTCATTAATTGTTAGATTAAATGCATTTTATCCCATTTTCACCACAAAAGCAAGTATAAATAAAAGGTATGCAAAGGTATACATGATGTGCAATAATTTGTGCAAATCACACCCCTTAACGTGAGTTTTGCTGGTCCCTAGCAAACTTTATTTTCAAACCACAAAGCATAAAACTAAACAATGCACTCATGCAAGTTAATTCACTAAACAATCAAAATGTAAAAATCACAATGCAATTAAATAAATCAACTTCGGCAAGATGAAACAAAATAATTGTGGTTCTTTTCATTCATTACTTCCAAAAGTTTAGCACAAGGATTTAGAATTCAAAAAAAAAAAATGGCCCAAAAATCCTAGAGACTCTTCTACTAGGCCGACAATTCTAATCATACCTATGTAACGACTAAAACCAAAAAGAACAAAGACAAAACATCCAACTCATCGTCCTCCTCTCCAGCCTCATCCTTGTCACTCTCATACTCCCTCTCTTCCTCATCACTAGAGTCATTGGCAGTGGAGCCACCACCTCGACAACTATAGAAGCCATGGGGGTAGAGATAGAGGGTCCAGCAGAAGGAGGTGAAGGTTCACCGGGGATCGGATCACCCAGGAAGTGCTTGGTTTATTTTTGTTGTATTCCCTAATTTTTGCACATCATCCTTAAATGTGTGTATATGATTTATTTGTGCATGTGAGTGTCACTCTCACTCGGGTTCGATGCAAGAAATAGGAAAATAGATGTGTGGAATGAAAAAAATGTGTGTGTGTGTGTGTGTATGCAAAATTGCTTCCCAAGCATAGAGGGAATTTTGCAATGTCGTGCCGTCTCCTCAAGGAAAGAAGAGAATTATGTGAAGGTGATTTTGTGAAAAATTAAAGGTGTAAAATCTTTTGAGTTTGAGTTTTGGTGAGTTTTGTTTTGAGAAATATGCAAGAAAGCAAGGTTGGCTAATCCCAAGAGGTCATTCCAATGGGAATGCCAAATCAACTCCAAACCTTCCTCGAATGGTGCCTAGATGTTTGATTGATTCGTAGGAAGCGAAAGACTAAAATGGAGGTGAGAATTCAAGCATACCTCATGACAAGTCTACGGTGTATCAAGAACTCACAATCATGTCCACACTTAACCTAGTCAAACCAAAGCATCATACACTGCAAGGAGGAATGAAAAAGAGTTGATTTAGCACACCCAAGAGGAATTCTCACATTGGATTAGCCAACTAAAATCTAGCTACTTATAATAACAGAAAAGACATGCATAATGTAAAGAGACATAATGAATAAATGAAACAAGGAACTCGGATTAATGGAAGAAATGGAGATCATGTTTTGCACTTTTTTAGATTGAAAGTGGGTCATGTAAAAAATGGGGAATATTGAGGTACTATTACTAAATGGTGCGGGTGTGGTACCTATGTTACCAAGCACCGATACCTCATTGATTTATTTCACTTTTAAGCCTCCAAATCCTCATGTAATGTGTCCATCTCTTCACCACACATCCACATTTTGTTGCACGATTTTAGAATCCATCATTTACGTTATAATTACCTACAACCACAAGATTTCAACATTATTCATAAACTCGACTAACTCTAAGTAATTAAATGCAAAGTTGAGTTAAAATGCATGTAACGAGGCTGTTAAATATGCAATATTATGTGCTCAAAAAAAAGTGTGCTCAAAAATCCTAGTCATCATCAAGGTAAGCCCATACATCGTCCCCTCCAAAGCATCTAAGCACTGTGCAACAGTGTAGGGAGGGACAGAGGTGGAAGGCCCAACACTAGACGGATCTGGTCTAGGGGTTCTAACTCTCTCACTCTTACTCATCACGGTCCTTTTACTGCTACTTGATTTCCCAACAACTCCAAATTCAGAAGGTAATAGGACATCCGAGACATAAGCCCTGACCTTATTGTAATAGCACATCCTCGTGACTAGATTGGTAAATGGGAGGTTTGCCTTCAACTTTCTAGCCTGAGCGAACTCCTTCATGAACTCCTAGATAAATAAAACTACATCCATTCTCTTCCAAGCCATAAATGCATGGAGGAGGGCAAGCTTCTCCACATTTGGGTTCTTCTCCACACCCCGGGGGATCAAATTGAAGTGAAAAGTCTTGTTCATGACCCTGTATGAATGCTTGAGGCCCCTGACTTTAATTATCCCTTTGAATTGGGTCGGGTCCTCATATGTCAGCTGCACATACTCAGGGAGTGATTTTCTCCCTTAGACATTGTGGGGATACACTAGTGTATTGGGAGGAGGAATCTGGTACTTAATTAAGGTCGTATTCAAGTTCGGGGTAATCTTAAAGACCTTCCCCCTCACATTGGTCTTAAGTATGCATTGGTCCTTATTAACCATATTCAATCTGTTATAAAAATCCCTACATATTGCAGGTTATACCCACTAACTGGCTCAAACCAAATATCAATTCCATGCCCCTCTATCACCTTTACGACCTTGTCATTTGGCCCAAGAGTGGGCCTATCGAAGTGACGCTCACAAGTGACATTTTTCTCATCGTTGCTCTTGTTGGGAGCATCATTTTTTTGCTTCTTCCTCCTTTTTCCACTCTCTCCACTACGGCCCTCCCCTGTCCTCTTGCGAGAACTCATGCCTGCGAGTTTTGGGAATCCTAGCCCCGTTCATTTCATACGGGCCATGAGAATCAACAGTGCCCTAAATGCCATGAAGGCCAAAAACCACATCAAAATTTGCTCCATGGGGTCAAAAGTTACAAGAGATAGCTTACCTATGCCGGCCATTGCAAAGGATTCCATGGTTTTAAAGAAAACTAAGTGGAATGGATTTGGGGCAAGAATTAGGGTTTTGTGAGAGAAATTCAACAATTTGCAGTGAAATCCAAATAGAATCTACTTTTAAGGATGAACTGTTTGAGATTGGGTGGATGGGTGAGAGATGTTTGAAGTTTGGTGGAGATTAGAGGGAAAGGAGAATGCTTGGGAGATCAATAGTTGAGGGAAAAGTGAAGAGTCTCCCAAAAAATCAGACTTAAAACCCTCATTTTTTTGCTTTCTAGAC